AGAGACAACAGAAGTAATATGATGGAAGAAACAAAGTCCTTCTTGAAATAACCGCGAATAAATATTGTTTTTAATGGTTAGGCTCAGATTTAATAGTTAGATTCATAAAACATTATATTTAATGGTTATATTCATGGTAGATTATAATGTTTTTAGAGCAACCCAAGTGAACTTAGTACAAGTAATAGTTGCAATTCCTATTAGGAGTTGTAGTATCTCATTTTAGAGACGGTATCTCTTTGCCGTTGACAGTGACGTTGCTCTACCAAGAATATATAACATTTGATCCAAATCTATTCTTGTACACATTATCATTTTTAAACATTATCTTTTTAACCAGCCCGAAAGGTGGTTGTTTTTTGTCGAATTCTACTCAACCATTATTTACAGTGCCCGGTGTTCCCAAACAGCCCCCCCCCACCATCTCAATATTAGCCACGATTGATATTATTTACCTTTGGTGATCAAACGAGAATCAGTGTTTTCAGCGTGATTTACCGTAAACCAACGGGATAGATGGTAACCATTTAACTCTCCGCAAAGAAAGATTCAACACAAAATCAAATTTTAACGGTTAGCATTGGACTTATGGCTACACCCAGTCATTTCAACTGTATAAAGGTTAAACCTTGCCACCAATCTAGAACTGTGCTTAAATTCATAAATTCTCATCACATTAGAGGAAATTCAATCAGAACAATTACCTTGAAAGTATTTATAGAAATGCAAGGTAAGAAACAATAACATTGCAGATACTTTGGATCTTATCAAAAATCTCTAAATATAGAGTAGGGGCCCCACAAAATGAAACTTAAAATACAAAGTTCCGTTTTATTATCAAGCGATGCTAAGACACCTAAGATACCTTAGCATCGTTTGATAATGGAACGGAACTTTGTATATATATATATATATATATATATATATATATATATATATATATATATATATATATTATAATTTTTTCTTTTTAAATATATTACCATCGCAACACCGAAATCCCCACGTTTCGAAACTGAAACTTCAATTCAAATTCAATTATAAAAATTATTATCAAACGATGCTAAGAAATCTTAGGTTTCCATATATATATATATATATATATATATATATATATATATATATATATATATATATATATATATATATATATATATATATATTATATATATATATATAGGGAGTAAAAGTTTGTCACTTAGCTGACTAATGTTACTCCCAGTATTCTGACTCCAGAGTTTCGGAGGTGGGTTTGTCCATCCACTCTTCAGGGGGTATCAGCAATATGCGCGGACGTGTGTGTGTGTGTGTGTGTCTGTGTCTGTGTGGGGAGGGTTCTGTGGGGGGATGTATTTTGGTGACGGAGTGTAAATTTAATTCTTAGAGTCTCCAAAATTAAAGACTTTTATCTTTTAACAGTTATACATTGTAAAACCTGCAATATCCAAGTGGTATAAATAATTATTACAGAAACTATTAATATTTTAATGTTTTCTTCATTACGGCTTAATTTATTACAAACGTATATGTATTGAAGGGATGTATTGGTAGTGCAATGTTTTTCAATACACAAAGTAGAATCATCAAGGTTGTAACCAGTTAGCAATCAGCCTAGGAGACGAACAACACTGAATTCAAACCTCAATTCACAGATAATAAAGAAAAGGGATCTATGGAAAGCCGTAATCGCCTACATAGACATGGCATTAAAATAGTGCATCAAACAGTTACATGTAGATTTCTATGAAACTCTTACCCCAAGTGGCTTGGATATATAGATGTTTATTAATAAGATTTTTGGGGACCTAGGCCTTCGCTAAATGAGCCACAGAGTTAGGGTTGAACATGCCTCTTCATTGAGGTTTTGGCAGACGTCTTTATTAACTAAGAGTCACTATGGGAAAACATTGGAATAACTTGTTTATTGAAATCACTCACGCTATGTTTTAGGTAATTTGAAATAATGGTCTTATTTTCTTACATTTTACATTGCATATGGCAATCTGTCATGTTTTTACAAAAGGCTAAGTAAAACAGACAGGCTAAATAGCTTGTTACTATGGCGACGAGATTTACTGTGTCAAGCGGAGGTCTAAATAATAATAATAATAATAAGAAGAAGAAGAAGAAGAAGAAGATGATGAAAAAGAAGAAGAAATTCTCCAGATTTGCAAATATTTTTAAACAAAAAACTTTGTGCGATTTTTTAAAACCGAACTCATTTGCCAATTGTTGCAAAGTGTTATAAATTTAAAGAAGCAAATCTAAGTGATCGATTCTATGCCGATTTATTTCTAATAATAATAATAACACAGGTCCATAACGCCTGACAAAACACATAGTCCGGTAAATTATTGCATTTTAACGTGTTTAAAGGCGAGCAGATATTAACAAAGCGCACAATATTAAAAAAAAAATATAGAGAGCAATAATGATGAGAAAAGTTCAGAAGACTTATTTATTCGACTTCAACTTTTACAGATAAATAACATTTACCTGACACCGACGAATGGTGTATCTATGAAACCCGAACTCGACAAGATAAGTCTTTTAAACTTTTGGTTCTCTGTTAACTATTTATATATGTAAGTGAGTATATATCTATTCATATATATGAAAGTTGGGACCAACTCAGAAATGCTATAGAGCTTTGTTTGCCAAGCAATATTCTCTAACACTGAAAATACAAGTGAGCATACCACGAATTTAACTTTTAGGGCCCGTTCAACAAATATCAACTCAAAAGTGCTTATTAATCATTTTGAATATATGTGAAGTCATTTTAGTAACAAACTTTAAAAGTGTTATTGATGAGTTACGTGTTCATTTGGTTTGAAATATGTTATTCTTTATTTTTTATAGAGAGAAAGTTTTGCAACCTTGCTTTGAATATTGCTGCCATATCTGGTCTGGTGATTTTTCCTATGTATTTAGAGATTCTTGATAAAACTCAAAGAAGAACGTGAAATGTTGTTAGTCTTGACCTGGTATCTTGGCTTCAGTCACTTTCCCACCGTTGTAACATTGCTTCCCTGTGCCTTTTCTCTAAATACTTTCATGGCCATTGTTCTGATGAACTTTCCGCTGTCATAGCTAGACTTTATGAATGTTAAGCGCAGTACTACAGGATGATTGAAAAGTAACTCCCCATTTTAAAATACTTATCGTTTCTTATTAATTATAATTTTTACAAGAAATCGATATAAGAGGAAAGCGATTACCAGGAGGTTTTATTTAAAATTTAATATGAGAACCAGATTTGCTACAAGCTTTTAGAGTCGCCCATAAATCGTGTCAACTGATTTCACCAGGAACTCTTGGGGTATAGAAGACATTTCTTCTTGTATTCGCCCTTCAAGTTCTTCCAAAGTCTTGGTTTGGTATAGCAGACTTGCTCCGTTAAACAATTCCAAAGAACAAAGTCGGAGGGTGTGTTTAGTCAGGACTCGTAGCTTACCACTCATATATCAAATAGGGAGTTAATTTTCAATCACCCTGTATATTGATGGCAAAGTCTCATCATTTTGCAGTTGAAATGGCTAGATGTAACCGTAAGTTCTATGTTAACAGTTTCGTCTATCACACTCCTCGCTCCTGGAACTCTCACCCGTTTTATTGCTTTCCAGTCAACTTGGATCTTTAAAAATTTAAATACAATATCAATCGTTATCTTCTTTATTCTGTTTCTTTTATAGTTCCCTCTCCTTAATAGTAGTTTTTTTATCATATTCTCTAACACTCAGTAACCCCCCCCCATCTTGCGTCTTAGTGACACTACTGCCTTACATGGGGTGAAATGATAAAAAAAATGTTTAACCAATATAGAATTTAAAATGGAATATCGAATTTTTATATTTTGATAAATTATTTACTATTTAACTTCAGTCGAGGTTAAGCCGATCTACTGGACGGAATAAAATGGATAACATTTTAAATTATACAATACTATTGCTCCTCAGCCACCAAGTCAGGAGAAAATAACAAACAGAGAACCAACTTTTTAAGTTTTAATGTCATCTAAACTTATAATTAGAACTTTTCTGCAGGTCATAATTCTTATAAAAGTATCTTATCGCCTACATCAATCCTTAATGGTCACCTTGTACTGACTTAAATGGATTGGGAACCACTTGTTAACAGCCAAGTCCGTTTATAAATTTCGCGTTTCTATAACAAAGGGTTTTGTTTGACAGGAGTTAAGTGAATATTAGAACATTACAAGTTCATTTTGACAGACGTTGTCTTTTCTATGACGTCCCGCACTCAAAATTCACGTGATACCAACATTACAATAGAATGAGTCATGCGTCTACATTAAACCATTATGACACTTCCGGTTGTTATATGATAAGTCTCGATGGTAGATTTCTCTCAGTGGAAATCACCTGAATAGATACTGTTATTCAAAAGGAGAGTTTAGGTGTCTGTTCGTTTTCCACGAAACAAAGTAAGTGTATGACTGATTATGGCATTGCATAATTCTGTTAAAATCTAGAAAGAAGTCGATTCAGTAAAAGGCATTTACATATTTACCAGAATATCTTTCCTCTATTATTCCTACTTTTAGAAATATTTCGTATGTTTATATGTTTGTAATTTCTGCGGTATTTAAGTAGTCGAACGCTACAGAAGTGTCTGCCTTAGCATGAGAGTTCACAAGATCATGACTGATGGAGAGATTTTCAAAATTTTTATAAACGTCAGTTGAGAGGTCACATTCGGGGATTATTGAAGCCTTATTCTTTTAAAAGTAAAAGGGCTGCACAATTTAAAGATTTCTTTCCATAAACTATTCTCTGCATTTAGTTTTGTGTCATACAAAATTTAATTTATTGATTCTGCTAAGGTATAACAATAAGTTCGTAGCTTAACTCTGAAAAGGCATTTTTATGCACCTTTGGTATATAAACTCCTTCTTTATGAAGGCACTATTCAGTTGTGAATATTAATCAGTTATATCGAACATTATAAAATGAAAATTTCAGATCAAAATTCAATTAATGATTATATCACCCACGTACGTTTGGAACGAAAAAATCGGGAATGTTTTATTTTTCACACAATTTATACAACGCACATTCCTATCTATCTATCTATCTATCTATCTATCTATCTATCTATCTAATTCTATTCATAATTCTATTCATACCTATCTATCTCAGTCTGTTCAAATCAAACATTTTATCTATCTATCTATCTATCTATCTATCTATCTATCTATCTATCTATCTATCTATCTAATTCTATTCATACCTATCTATCTCAGTCTGTTCAAATCAAACATTTTATCTATCTCGGTTCAAATCTGTCTATCTATTTATCTATCTATCTCAGTCTGTTCAACTCACTCTATCTATCTATCTATCTATCTATCTATCTATCTATCTAATTCTATTCATACCTATCTATCTCAGTCTGTTCAAATCAAACTTTTTATCTATCTCTATTCAACCCTATCTATCTGTCTATTCAAATCTCTCTGTTCAATCTCTATACAAACTTATCTATCTCAGTCTGTTCAACTTAATCTATCTATCTATCTATCTATCTATCTATCTATCTATCTATCTATCTATCTATCTATCTGTTCCAATCTGTCTGTCTATCTATCTATCTATCTATCTATCTATCTATCTATCTGTTCCAATCTGTCTGTCTATCTATCTATCTATCTATCTGTTCCAATCTGTCTGTCTATCTATCTATCTATCTATCTATCTATCTGTTCCAATCTATCTATCTATTTATCTATCTCAGTCTGTTCAACTCACTCTATCAATCTGTTCCAATCTATCTATCTATTTATATATCTCAGTCTGTTCAACTCTATCTATCTGTTCCAATCTATCTATCTATCTATCTCAGTCTGTTCAAATCAAACTTTTTATCTATCTCTATTCAACTCTATCTATCTGTCTATTCAAATCTCTCTGCTCAATCTATCTCTATACAAACTTATTTATCAGTCTGTTCAACTTAATCTATCTATCTATCTATCTATCTATCTATCTATCTATCTATCTATCTAAACTACTTAGTTGATTTGCGCATTCTTCTTTCCTCTCTCGTTTTCTACATTTTTACATAGTTTTCTTTATTAGGTTTCTTCCAAACATGACAGAAGAGGAAGCAGAGGAGAGGTAGAAGAAAAAGAAGAAGAAGAAGAAAAAAATGTAACCTGCAAATTAAAACAAAATAAGCTGTAAAAAAAAATAATAAAAATGTATTAACAGTTTTTAAACTTCTTGATTGACGAATATCGTGTGTGTATCCCTAAAGCTAACTTTCAAGATATTTTTTCATGAAGCATGAATGCATTTTATCAGTTCCCTAGTAACACGCCTGGACAAGAAAAAATTTTTAATAAACGATTCAAATACAACATCTTAAACATTTACAATCACTTTTATCTTAAATTAAGTACCTCCATCTTATTTTTGAAAGAAACGTACAAGACAAATTTTATTTTACAATAAGCTAATAAAAAACGTCACTTTATAGGTATTTACAATTTGTGTCAATTAAGTTAATTCGTTGAGTAATGGTAATATTAGCCGTTTCCTTATAAGGAAACATTCTGGGTCCGTTGACTGTGCAGCTAGTGCTACTTTTGGTTGAAATTTATAAAAATAATTTGTCCGGAAAATAGTCCCCTAGCTGTTATTGCTCTTTCCAGTATTTATGGCGACTTCCTAACTTTTTCTTTGAAGAAGTGTAAAACGTCATTACTTTGAGTTACATGCGCTATCCATTTTAATTGTTTCTGCTCTTGAAAGTCTACAAATAACATGGTTCTATTATTTGGTAAAGGATGTTGATGTTTTGTTCATAATCATTCTTATCACAACTATGAATACCTATGTCATCAGCATAGCTACATTCCTCCTTTTGTCATCAGTACACTGGCATTGGAGTACAAACAGGAACGCTGTTTTCTATTAATAGATTCTATGGGCTGTGACATAGAATTTATACATAATCACTACTCTTCTGTGCTTGTATATACGCAAGGCATCGTCTAGAAAATCATTAACGGAAGAATTTAAACGTATGCCTACTGTAAATTTTTTTTGTTTTTTTTTAATGCCTTATTCTTTCAGCTGGTTTTCTTAATTCCATATTCTTTCAATAGGTTTTTTAATGCCGTATTGTAGGATTTTTTAATGCCGTATTCTTTCAGTAGGCTTTTTTTTTAATGCCGTATTCTTTCAGATGGTTTTTTTAATGTCGTTTTCTTTCAATAGTTTTTTTTTTAATTCCATATTCTTTCAGTGGGTTTTTTTAATGCCGTATTCTTTCAGTAATTTTTTTTTATTGCCGTATGCTTTCAGTATGTTTTTTTTAATGTTGTATTGTTTCAGTAGGTTTTCTTAATGCCGTTTTCTTTCTGTAGATTTTTTTAATTCCATATTCTTTCAGTAGATTTTTTAATGCCGTATCCTTTCAGTAGTTTTTTTAATGCTGTATTCTTTCAGTAGGTTTTTAATGCCGTATTGTAGATTTTTTTAATGCCGATTTCTTTCAGGAATTTTTTTAATGCCGTATTCTTTCATAAAGGTTTTTTTTTTAAATGCCGTATTCTTTCAATAGGCTTTTTTTAAAATGTCGTATACTTTCAGTCGGTAGGCAATCTACGGACATCTTTTTTTATTATCTGCTAACTGCTATCGCTTCTTGCGAAAGATAGAGGGGTCTCTTGTTACCTTGTCATATCCGGCGTAATAAAATCGGATGCATTTTTTTCGGAGCAGCCCTCGTACAAGATAGAGCCAAGATAATGTTAATGGTAACATTAGCCGTTTCCTTATAAGGAAGCATTCAGCATTCAATGACTAAACAGCCACTATTACTTTTGATTGAAATTTATAAAATCTTTCTCTTAAATCAATTTTTCAGGAAATTAAATCATAGGTGAGTGTTGGTGGGCGGATAGTAATCATTTTTTGTTTTGTTGCAAACAGCAAGTGTGTGGAAGTCTAGTATAATGGCATGAAAGTGCGTACGAAGAAGAATTGAATTTCTCCATGCAAAATGAATTGCACCGACTGTCATTCATTGCGTCATACTGAAAGTTTTTGAATACCAAACAATGGATATAAGCACAGTTGGGCGGTGGTTTATGCGTTTCAGCAGTGACGAGAGCGATATTCTTATAAGCTATTTTTGCATAACCATTGATGGGTAAAACGTTATCGTTGTACCGACTAATAAGTACACCTGACTAAACCACTTATACGTAAAATCACTGTTTACAGTGCAACCTGGGTTCTCGAACGTCTCACATGTTGAACAAATCGATTTTCGAACAGAATATTCGAGATGAAAATGCCTCGGTTATCAAACAAAATTTTGATTCTCGAACAACATTGCCGAACCGACTTAACCCGAACGGAATCATCTCTTAGTCAACCGCAGTGTTGTATACATTCGTGTGTTATGCTGTGCTTTTCTTTTCCAATTTTATTGTACTGTAATTTTTTTCTCTTTATTAGCCTTTAGACATGGCTCCAAAGAAAGCTAGCATTGATACTGGTAATGGAAAAAGAAAAGTTAAGAGAAAAACAATTGTTGACGATATTGTCTCTTCCTACTCAATTTCATATGGCAAAATCAATGATCTATACTATTCTTATAAATAAAGAGACGATCATGTCTTTCCTTCCCTTTTCCAAGCAATAACACCACTTTCCTTCCCCTTCCACTTATGCCATCAACTCTTCTACATGCAGGTATGGTAAAATTAAAATGTTCGTCTATATTTTATCTGTTAAGTATTGATTTTTTTCTTAGATTTAATGATGTTCATTATTTTTATGTATTATATGATTTTCATTAGTTTTGTGTATAAACTTGTGCACAAAGTACTATTGTTAAAGTTTAAATAAGCAATCGTCTTGTGACCAGGAACGGATTAATCTATTTTACATTGATTCCTATTAGACATATAATTTCGGTTTACGAACATTTCGCGTTACGAACGGGCTTCAGGACAGAATTAAATTCGTGTACCGAGGTTTCACTGTATTTAATTGCGGGTTTCGTCAATCAATATCGATGAGTGAGTATGTGGCTTTGGGGGCTTTCTCTGAACATAGATTCTTCTTGCGAGAATTTAAGAGATTCTTTTCACCCTCTCTCTCTCGGGTAAAGCATTTATATATCTACCTGTCATTCATTTATCCCACGTGCGCACATCCTTACCATAGTTGGGTTGAATCTCAGTTGATATGTAGGGTCAGCCATTGACATCCAATGAAGATACGAATCTGCTCCTGGTAGCTATGAAGTCACCTTCCAGGTCAACTCTCTAATTCCTCTGAGTTGTCTGACGGTCAGATGTAACTGGATATAAATTATATTTTTGGTATCATCTTGGGTTCATAACAGATCAATTTATCTTAGAAGAAATGTTTTTTATTGGCATGAAATTCGATTCAAATTATCTGAAATTTGTTTGTGCGAATCGCATACTAAGTAGGACTATGCGTAAAAATAATGTTTTGTGGCAGAAAAAATTCTCTCCTCCGCCTCACGTTGTTGTTGTGCTACCAGTATCTGATGTGGTTTTCGTAGGAATAACTAGGAGGTGTTATTTTCAGAGCGTCGCTCGTAATTGCTGCATCACGGAAGAAAATCTAAAGATATTCGGAAGACAATATAGCGCAAAACCTCTAAATAGAATTCAATATAGAACATGCGCATCAATTCCTTCAAAATAACTGAAATCATATTTACAATTGTTCTGATAAACTTAGTGCTTTGACTGCATGAATTGATGGGTGCTACTAGATTGGCAACTAGGTCTCAATGTTTTACTGTTGAACTACTTAGATCCAACCATCAGTTCAATTCTAATAGTTTTATTTTCACGCACTTCTCACCCGTGAAACTTCCTTCCGATTTCTTGCTTCACTGCAAATTTTGAAAAATTTTAATCAATCGCCATCTTCTGACTTCCAGAATTCTATTCCTTTATCGTCCTTTTCTTCACTTGACCTCACTAACATCTGCTCATTCTCTTTCATTCCCTATAACCCTAGTGTGCGTCCTAGTGGCATTGTAACTTTGCTTGGGACGAAGTGATTAAAAAAATTGCCCGCCAACAACGGTATTATATACTAATATCATCCATTAATAACATTACTAAGAAATTAAGTCCTCTTACGCATTAACTCCACTCTACATTAAATCCCATAATACCCTTATTCAATAATATTAATAACCGTGCCTTACCTATAACTTATATTCATCGTTCCCCTATTTTTACACGAGCTTACAGCCACATCATGTTGAAAACATCGGTTCTCGTACGATAACCGAAGTTAACAAACGTCGAATATGGTCACTACCTAGATGGGTGACCGCTTGGGAATACCAGGTGCTTTAAGTTTGGGTGTGCGGCTAGTCGAATGAATAAAGGCCCGGAATTGAAAATCGGTGAGTCAAGTTCCAATTTCGGTCTAGTTCGTTATATTAACTTACGCGGAAATAACTTTCGGAAAGGCATGAATCCACATCTTCTTTCCTCATCTATGGGTTTATTTAGAACAACTTGCATCAGTAAATCTTTATTAACTCCAAAAGATTCTTATAATCTAAAAATATTTTCTGGCTTTAAATAACCTACAAAATGTTGATAAGCCGCAAAGAACAAATCAATCAATCAAAAGTAGCGGTTGTCGTTGTAATAAAGCCAACAGTTTTCTAATGTGCATTCAGTCTATTTTTCTCAAAGCTGAAGCGGGAAAATTATTTCATTTGCTAAAATTTGCAGTAATTTAAATATTCTAAAATAAATCTTTCTTACAGACATATGCTCATGACGTCAGTTTAAAATAACACCCACTTTTTCTTTCTTTCTTTTTTTTTTGCATATATCTAAACTATAACTATAAACTGTAATTTAGGAAAGTGAAAATTTCATTGAAATATGTTGGAAACTTTCTAAGTTTTCATGTGAAATCAAGAAAATAGGAACTTAAAGCAAATTAGTCACAATATACGAAAAAATGGTGCTAGTTCAAACCAATGTTTCTCAGCCTTTTTAAGCAACCTAGGAACAAATGAAAATATCATGGTACACTTAGCCATGTATACCCTTTTAAAGGGTATACATTTAGATGTTATGAAATAAAACCATAGATTTTTTTAAAAATACACACAGATATGAACTTACTTTATTTCAATATTTCAACTATTCAACCATTTGTACAGCTTATTTAGTGTGAAACTTGTGTTTTTCCGCGATTTCTTCAATGTTTGGTGGAATATGCGATAAGCAGATTCTTATTTCTTCTTCGCTTCACTGTAGTCTTTCTCGCTTCTTATTTTTGATGTTATTTAGGGTTGAGAAGCCTAATTCACATGAATAAGAAGTAGAAAATTACAAGAAAACTGATAAAGCCTTTTTAGTTAATGTGGAATATGAAGTTTAATACTTATTCATTTATTCAAATACTAAAGCTGTACCATTATTGCTTCCACACACACACATATATATATTATGCCGTGAAAATATTTCCCGGAACACTTAGGAAGATCGCGCGGCGCACAATTACCAACCTTGGCTATGTAATAGCGCCATATAAATAATTAAACCGAGCAGAATTTTTGGTCAGACGAACAGAATTGTGAATGGCAGGGATATTTGTGGCAAAATAATCTCCTTTGCCTGAACACCAGAACTAGTAATGTAGATTTCTTGATAAGCAGTACGTCTGACAGTATTTAAAAAGACATTATATTACAATGACACCACCCCTCAGAATATTAAATAACTGTTGTCTGTTTTATGTCATAATAGTACGAACAACGATTATTCGAATTGTAAAATCAGCTTATGAATAAACATGATTGTATAAATGTAAACAAAATGTCTCAGTGCTACTCAGTAATGTAAAACATTTGTCGATATATGTTAAACTTTTTCTAGTGCGAGTTTAACCAGGTCGTAAAAAGTTCAGTGTACATCTTGTGATGAATGTATGACAAGATAAAAAAGATAATTTCTGGTCAAAAAAAAATTTTTTTTTCTTTTTTTGCAGGAAATGAAAGGTGTGACAAGTACGTTGTTTATCAAGCCTAATAAAATATTAATCGCCACACCTTGAATAGAAAGTAATTATTTCCCTAAAGGAATAAACGTGTATTTTAATTATTCTAAGAACAACCCTCTGTTATCTATTCTCTTACAATCCCGTTATTTAACTTCATTAAGTTATATATAAAAGACGTGTAACTTGGCTAATTATAATAAATTAGCATAAGCTGAGAAGCAGTTACGATATGATAGGTACGCTTATCACACAAGTCATTACTCATGAAACTGGGTTTGTGCTGAATTTTGCACTTAAATTGGTTTAGTCCGACAAGTACTTAAATGATTGCTTAATTTAAAATAATTTCAAAGGACACCACTGAAAAAATTAATTGAATTATATTAATATTACAACTTCCCTCTATTCATATCAACAGCATTCTGGATAATAGTTCTTCAGTATTATTATCCATAGTTGTGCCTACATCTATCTTGTCTTTACAAATATAGTAACTGCACCTTATATCTAACCATCTTTGCACAACTTCATGTGGCTTAGTTTTGAATTCAGAACTTTCTCCTAGACTGGTTTACAACCACGGCTAAGGAGCCCAATCTGTCCTGATATTTATTTCGTAACTGTTTAGCAACTTTTTGTCTGTGGGAAAATGGTTGTAGGTGAGGGAATAATTAATTACCCACAAGGTCACGTAAATGCTTTTGAACTCAATCAAGACTGGAAAGTCAGGATTGGTTAACTCCTGTCCAAGATATGACAGCGATACTCCAAATAACGTTTTTGAAACCTAATACAGTAACTCGGTGTTATAGTCATAAACATATGTATACACATCCCCCTTTCAACTGCCGATAGAAAGCATCAAACTAGGTTTCTTCGGAAGCAGAAATGTAAAACAATTAAAAACAGAATTATTCGAAGAAAAATTCTTATAAATGACTACATAGTAGCAAGAATTTCAAGACACAGAATCCTAATCGCTGACGACAGGATGTGGATAGATATGTCACAACGCTCGTCCGGTTTTAGTATTTGTGTGAGAGATGAATAGCGCTACGTATATCCAGAGTATTATTCAACAGGTTCTGTGGTTGTTACTACAACAGGAAGGAGATGAGCCCATACTACGCAAGATGTTCATCAATTTCTCTAGCTAGCACTATTGCCAATCTTACTCCCTACTAAATATGTCTGATAGGAGGATGCCTTAGTCTTTCATTAGCATGTGCAAGAAGCATGAAATACTGTATTGCAGGTTAGTATTCACCATCTGTGTTATTGTATGCATGAGAAAGTTAACGCCTAAGGAGGTTAAACAGGGTACTCTGAGCTTGGAGAATTGTTGATAAACTTATTTTGGAATCTGTACACATATTGACCCTTATATGTGATCAGTTACTGAAATCCAGTATACTTCAACTTCTTTTATGCGCCAACTTTCTTACGGACGTAGGTGAATATGACTCTCCACGATTTCCTGTCTTTTGTTTCTCTAAGCAATGTTTACACTTTCTGTCCTTGTTCTGCCATCCATACACACATACCCGTTAAGTAGGTTACTGATGTCTAACCTGCGTCTATTTCCTTGTTCATCGAGTGTTAAATTCTTTAGACCCTCTTTCCTCATTACGCATCCTAGAAATTTCATTTTGTCTCTTTCTGACGGTAACTATAAGTTTCTTTGGTGTTCCTGTTTTCCTTCCTTGTTGTTCACATGTTCTGTCCATGATATTCTCAGCACTCTGTCGTTACAAGTTTCCTCTTCATCCGTAAGGAAATTGACCCGCGTTCACTGCCATATAAAAGATATGATATTACATAGCAATTCAGTAGTCTTTTTATTTTAGTTTCTAACGAGGTTTTCCTGTGTCTTAATACTTTGCTTAATCTCCGGAAGACATTTTCGCTATTCCTATGCGCCTTCGGATTTCTGTGTCACATTTTCCGTCTAAACTACCCAGACAGTTGAATGTTTGCACCTCCCGTATTTTGACAACCCTGAAATGTAACTTACACCTTATGCCGCCTCTTTTACTTACGACCACGCATTTTGATTTTTTACTGTTAATAGTCCTTTCTTCACGCTTTCTACTACTACTTTGTCAAAAATTTCTTTCAATTCCATTTCTGAGTCTGCCTTCAACATAGGGTAATTCAGAAACACATATTCAAGATGTTGTAATTTTATTTTTCGTCAGTGTATTTGAAAACAGATATATATGTATAAAATAAATATATGCATAAAACAGTACATTGCTGTTGTTATATTAGAAATGTTGCTTTTGATTTCTGTTCCTTCGTTAAAAGCATTTTTTTAATCGAGTGAAAAACAAAATACTTATAAAATTCTATAACGAGTCTTTGCATAAAATTTACCACTGTGTTACTGTCTCGTTTAGAGATTAAGCAAAACGTCTCAATAATTGATTCGACAAACATTTGAGATTTTGGCCTCAGAGGTGGAAGATTAAAAGTCTATGGATTTGAATTCAGTTCTTTATTTTGCAACCTTAAAAGTGTATTTTGAAAAACTTTAAAACTTTTTGCTTGTTTACTTTATGAAAAAATCGATTTAAACAAGACATATAGATTATAAACCTTCAAAGCATTTCATATTATAAAGAAAAGAATTCAATTTCATACACGTTTCCACATTTTTAGCAGTTTTACAGCCATATCAAGTTGAAACACCTAGTCCCGTACGATAACCGAAGTTAAGCAGCGTCGAGCCTGGTCAGTACTTAGATGGATGACGGCTTAGGAATACCAAGATATGTAAGCTTGGATGTGCGGGTGGTGTAATGGATAATTTCTCTGGATTTTTAATCGGGGAGCAGAGTTCCAATTCCAGTCAGGTTCGTTATATTCACTTACATGCAAATACCTTTGGGGAAAGATATGTGTCCACCTCTTTTCCACCCCCACAGCTATGGGTTAAATAGCGGAACTTGTATTATCAAATCATTATTATCTTAAAAAAAAATCTTAAATGAAAAAATATTTTCTTTTTGTTGATAATCAATAGAAAACGAATCAATCAAAAAACCCTTTCTTACCGATGTTTTGGGGGTACCTATATTATATTTGGAAAAAATCTTAAATCATCATTAAAGCTACCTAATGCAGTTGTGTCTAACATATATTTATCAATTGTTAACATTTTAAAACTTTTACAAATATTATTTCAACAATGTTGTCTTTTCAAAATCTTTATAAATTTAAGAATTAGCATCATAATATTAGGAAGGATATAAGTACAGAAGTACATCGAAACGATTGAGGATACATTTATTTCTGATATCCTAAAGGTAACCTGTTTTAAGTTTTCTTATATATTTTCACCCAAAGACGATTCAAAGGAAAATCTTTGGAGGATCAGGAATTCATATTTAGAGTTCTCTATTTCTTGGAATCATTACGATTATGAAATTGTTTCTTAAAGAATAATTCTTAAGACCTCATTTTATAGACATTAACATTTATCATAAAACACACTACGTTATCGTTTTTGAATGGTTTGAATTTTCAAGCACATATATCTATAAAATGTGATAAGAAATTTATCAGGACTGGGAAAAAAGTCATGAAGTTACTATTTTCATTATCAATTTTATGCAATCCGTAATATTGCACAAATTGCTTCGCTAAAGTTAGAAAAATAAAATTAAAAAATAACGGAATAAGGCTTCAGAATGTCATCATTTTTAAACATATAACAATATAACATATAACAATATAACAATATTTAACATATAACATATATATATAATATAACATATATAACACATATAATATATAACATATAACAATATAACATATAGCAATACATATTAGCAACACAATTTTCTCTTTTGTTTCACATTGTTTTTGTTGCTACTTATTACTTTAATAATATCGGGAATTTACGCAGTTTAACTTAATGTGGCACAAGGTTAGTGAGAATCGATCTCACTATACTATTTGGTCTGGAAAACGATCCTGATTACTATCACGCCACATCAGATACTAATAAGTATCTACAAAGCTTCGCTTAGTCTGACACAAGGGCCGGATTAAGCAAGTGCAAGATCTGTAGCCTATATTATAAAGGAGCGATAAATAAAAAAAATACACAGAATATTAAATAAAAATTATTTACTAACATAGTGATAGAGTTTATAAAACAGATAAATATACTAACTTCAGTCAAACCCAATAATAAAATAAATAAATACGTATGGCAAAGATTATTCTCATATCATATAGCAAAGATAACAATTTTTATAGAAACTGTGTCCGATTTTATTATGCAAATCAGTTCATTTTATAATAACATTAGTATTAGATAATTCAGGGGCAGATTAAGCTATTGCGGAACATGTAGCACATGTTATAAAGTGGCCCTGAATTTGAAAATGCACATAAATATTTAAAAATAAATTATAGTATAGTAATAGAGTTTACAAAACAAATTTAACTTCTATTAACATGATAATCAAACCCAGAAAAAATATTTGGCAAATGAGTAGATTTAACGATTTAAATATATGGTTGTCAGGCGAACAAGGCAATGAATTAAGCTAGTTCAGGGCATGGAGAAAATGTTAATAAGAAGGCCTAAATTAAAAAATAGTTATTTAATCATAAATTATTTACCACCATAGTGACAGAGCTTATAGAATAGGTAAATACTTAACTTCTATCAATATGATAAGCAAACCCAGAAAAAATGGGCAAATGAATCTAATGGGATATTTGAGTATCTTTAACGTCGTCGGTATAAACTTACCTGAATTGATGAATAATTAAAGATGGTGTTCCTCCAACATGTAAACATTAATATTGTCAGATCGTAAGATACTGATTAACGAGCTTGAAAGTATTTAAGGCAAGGTCCTCGAAAATGTACTCCGACATTGCAGAAACCCACAACTATGAGACACTGAGTGAGGATTGAACGTTTGGAACCGTAGTAATGTTCTGCTTGACTGGCTCTCTAGCCATTATCCCCCGGTGAACTGACCTCGAGAATTAATTATAAATCTTTCAGCCTTTACATTTAACCTTTTGCCTCTTGCTATACAACTATTTCGACTAACTGCATTGCGTTGATATGTGGTTATAAAAAAAAAATAAATGGATCATGACTAGAATTCCAATTCATTTTTTTAATCCGGTTCACCCCAAGCAAGGCAGTAAAGCCACTAAGAGACGATAAGTTACTGTATGTGGAAAAATTAGAAAACAGAAACTAAGGAGCGAGAAGACAGGAGATAATGATTGACATTGCGTTTAAATTTTTGATGATTAAAGGTGACTGGAAAGTATGGGGATGGAATAGAGTTTTATAAGCAAGAAGTTCGAGAAAAGAAAATATTAGTATAGAAGTTATGGTTACATCTAGCCAATTCAATTAATGAGATCTCGTTGCCAGTCAAGTACTGCACTTAACTTTATAAAGACTAGGTACCATAACGAAGAGATCGCCCGAATAATTATCATGAAAGTATTTATAGAAAAGGTACCATATGTGGCAGCAATATTCTAAGCATGGACGAATAGTAAATATGTAAGAGAGATTGTGAAGAGAAAAATTGTTTAGCACGACACAGTGAGGAAGAAACAATCTTGAAGAAACATGTCTACCGAAAGAACGATTTTCTCATTTCAAGTTTCACTACCAAAAATGAGAAAACCAACAAATCAAAATGTACTTACTTCCTAGTATTCCATATTTCCATGTTTTTTGAACATTAAATACCATTAGTGTTACAAAAATAAAAGAAATAATATTCAGTCAACACGCTCGACTTTTGGTTATGCTATATTCGATCAAGAAGCCTGGTGTATGTCAGACCGCTTTCAAGTAAGTTCCCACACAGATCATAAACTCACCTGACGAATCAGTTTACCTTAAATATCAGGCCTAACTTGCCAAGACCTTATTCGTTGATGTCCCACCTTAAATCTAAAGATGAGTTAACGACAATGTTAAATTAGCCACGCCCTTCTGTTCGTCGTGACTCCGCCTACCTGACAAGAGATACTTCTTACAACTCGACCTTTTCTCGGCAGCCAAGATGTCAAATATTCCTCATATCCTGACCTAATTTCGATTCAGACTATACAAGTAAAATTCAACCCAAAAAGATAAACTTAGTTAAAGACATGAATTTAAAGCATTTAAAATGTTTTCTTTCTAGAAAATACCTTAGCGATATTTCTAAAATATCTTTAATGACTGACACTCAGAATCACGAATATTAGTTCAAAAGATATTAGCTATTAATATATACTCAGTGTGGGTATATGGAGCTTGATAGCTAAAATAGTTATGCCTGGCAGTGGTCGTTACTTGAATATAAGTAAACGCTAGAATTAAAGAATGATTTCAAGCCGACAAGTATGTCCGCCTTAGTTCGAAGATGGGCGTAAATCAGTGATTGTATTTCATTTTTCGTTTAATTCTGTCCTGAACGTTTTTGTTTTGTTTTGTTTTTTGTTTTTTTGACTATGCTGTTTTTTTTTTTTACAAGAGCCACTCGAAGTAGAGGGTTACAGAATAAGAGGTTCAGTTTATGGTGATATGTAGGGAAGAAAATAGATAACCATAGATATAAACAGGTTAAGATTGTAGTGATCGGAGAAGCATCTACTTGGAAATCAATTACGTAAAGCAACAGTCCTTTGGAAGAATCTGCTCAAGCGGAACTTATATATCTCACCAATGGAATACAAAGGGAATAAATGTGGTTTAATACAATCTTCGTAGCATGGCTGATGAACTGGTGGAACTAAGGAATACAGTTCGTCTGAACAATTTCCATGGAAATAGCGCTAGAGCAGCGAGAAGCTTGAGACGTTTCGTCTATGAGAAATGGCTGTAGTGTTAAAAATAATTAATCACTCAAAAGAACACGGAAATGCTTTTGGACACTGTCAAGACTGTAAAGTGAATGCTGAGCAAATCCTGACCATATATGACAGCAGTACTCCATTTTCTGTCTGATCTGGCTCTTAGATGATAGCAGGAGGAGTCAGATACTTAATCGAGTCGTAGAAGGAAACCGACAGTCTTCTGAGTATTTTAGCGATGGATCGTATGTACGAGCTCCACTTGAAGTGTGGGTTGAGCTCAAGTCGCAATAGGCTCTCAAGCCACGGGACCTCCTAGGATTAAGTGAATAGATGTAAATACAAGTGTGTGCTTACAGTATTCTGGTTGACAAAAAATGTGAGTATGCGAACGCAAACATAAATGAGTTTGTGTGTGAGCACATGCACTGACGAATGGTGAACGAATTTCACAACCTTAAAACTTACCTGGTACTAACAATTAAAAAAATGACACTCTTCACTACCCAAGCTAACATATATGTCTGTACATACACACATACACACGCGTATATACACGTAGACACGTGCGTACAGATATGGCTCGCTAAGATAACAGACGAATGGGTATGCTTAAATAGAAAAATTCACAATCTTCTATGTGCGCGTCTCTTCACGACCTTGTGACCCTTAGCAGTTTTTCACCTTTTGCTAATAAAAGCTCGTCGGGTAAGTTGTTCGTTGCCTTTACCTATCTCTCTTGCCATCAATATGCCCTGTGAAGCTTAAGGTTTCCAAGCACTTTTTCCTCATTATTTCCAAGGAATTTCAGCTGTCTCTTTCTGATTCTGAACATAAGCATTCTTTTTTGCTGCCATTTTCTTTAAGACTTACTCATTGCTTACTCGCTCCGTCCATGGAATTCTCAGTATCCTTCTGTATAACCACATTTTTGTTGC